GCAAAATAGTAAAAAAAACTCGGTGCGAAAATGGACAGCGTGTCCCACTACAACTAGGAACTTGAATAAAATCACTTCCTACGCTACTGCTTTTATAGGGATTTTTACCCATTTATCTTGTCTCTTACGACGTTAGTGAGCCATAATTCTAAATGATTTATGTGTTACACGGAACGCGACTTTAGGTCTTATTTCGCTGTTTTATAGGGTTTAATTTCGTTTGAATCATGGTACAAGAAGTATGCTATTCCGATGGATGAATTTTCGTCTGCTTTGCGCACCAGCCACGTGACGTCACATTGTAACATGTGAGGTTATGACAGAGGATGAGATTCGGTTCATTTTTTAACCATGGGTTAACTTATCTTCGAAGGTGCTAAGTTGAAATCAGATGCTAATAACATGTGTTCAAAATTTCGCATGGTTCGCTTATAGTGATAATACGAACATGCAACAAGCCAAAATTTGAAGTTGGCGGACATGACAGGCACATGACGTCACACTAAATGCGCAATATCGTACCATGTCTTCTTGTATGGTTAGAATATGGTTTTGTTTCTGACGTTCTTTATGGGGCTACTGTGTCGTAAATTGTCGGTTTTTTTCAACTTGCCTCATGGTTCCCATGTCGTCATCGCTACATTGCGTCAGCCTGTTGCATCTGTTCGTAAGGGCGGCGTTCTTTGATGTTTTTTATGCGTATGCGTTTCGTCTGCAGCTGTTTTAGTTTGAGTACGAATTCGGATGAAAGTAATTGTCATTGGTAGTTTTTTATGGTGTACGGTTCTGCGCATGTCGTTTGCAATGTTTGACAATATTTGCAAATTGAGAATATGCGAATTTTGTTCTCACGTTCAGGGATTGGTGGTCGAGCTTGATTATCTGATTGAATGGTACTATATGCAAAATTTTCGAATTTTGTTGTTATAGTCTGGGCATTTGTTATTCGTCTTTTTGTTACGCTTTTTTCGTGCACGAATTTAGTGACGGCTCGTCACAGCAATTTAAATGTAAATAACATTCTTAGACTTTTAAGGAACCAAATTATTCCTGAAATTGAACCACTAAATACTCAGGACATTTGGTTCCAGATGGATGGTGCGCCAGCACATTCGTGTAGAATAGTTACGAATTATTAAAATGACAGATTTGGTCCTGTTGTTTGGCCTGCACGATCACCAGATCTTTCGCCAAATGATTTTTTTCTCTGGGGACATCTACATAATACAATTTATAATCATGTAGAAATTCAAACAAATGAGGAGTTATAAGAACGTAGTCAGAGCTTCCCAAGAATTGAATCCAAATTTCGTACGATATGCAGTGCAAGGATTCCATCGCAGACTTGGTTATTGCTTGGAACAGGGAGGCGGTCATTTCGAATATTTGCTATAAAATTTAGTTATTGTTTTATAAAAAGTTTGTCTCGTGTTTATGGTTTTGTTTATTGTTGAACATGTGCATAACACTCTGTAGTTTCAGTATACATTGAAAAAGCACTGCTTTACTCAAACGATTTATCTTGGTTTGACAACCAACAATGTTCCTGCGTTGGCAGCGTCGTTTTAAAACTGAACATAGGCCTATGTTCAGTTTAAAAAAAAATGTCCGTTATATAACTACAGTGACCGGCAAAAAAAAACCGGCCACCCTGAAAAATTTCGCAAAACCACTTCAAACATTATTTAATTTAACTATTGATCGTTATTTTATTAAATAATCATTCACTATTGACACATGATGTACAAATTAGCACAAAAAAGAATGCAGTTAAACGCAGAATTAAATTTAATTTAACAAAATAACAGAAACATACCAAGTACGATATCTTCTTAAAAAAAAAACAACAAAGGAGGCTGTTGTTGTAAACAGTGTTTTTCATCATTTGATTATAAGTTTCGCAATTAATAAACGTTTTCACGCGAAAATAATTCCGTTAACTCTTATAGACGTCTCTCAAAGTGTCGTTCTGTTTCTGTTATTTTGTTAAATTAAATTTAATTCTGCGTTTAATTGGCTTCTTTTTTTGCTAATTTATACCTCATGTGTAGAGAGCGGATTTCTGTCGGGCTAGGCAAGGCCAAACTCGGTACGGCTCGTACGGGATGGGAATTCATTGCACTTCGTTTATTTCAGATTAGAATAACGCTGCTTCGTTGCACTCTGCTATTAATTCCAGTTCTCATTTACTTAGCTGTTTGATTAATAAATCGTTAATTGTATTTATGGAATAAATGACGATTAAATTCAGTGATTCTCTATCACCCGCTACTGAGTCTCGGCGAACCAGCGCGTCCTCACCTATAATCGTGACGTAGCCCGACAGAAATCCGCTGTCTACTCATGTGTCAATTGTGATAACCACTGTTTACCATGAATCCCCTGATGGGTGGTTACCAGGGTGGAAACATACTAACAACTCACTTTCACATCTTTATTTCACTGTTCTTTACTACACTAACAATAACTACTTCTGCTTCTCCCTTTTTCCCAATTCATACACACGCCTTAAATAAACTAAATATTGCTAACTCTACTATTTCATTAACCTAAACATTATGCCACCTGATTTCGCCAGAGGGATGTACGGAAGTTGGCAGTTTGTTAACATTGCAACATTTCGTTTGTCTTTTCGACACTACCGCATTCCTTACACAATAGTGAATGGTTTTTTAATAACATAACGATCACCAGTTAAATTAATAATTTTTAAACCTTGGTTTTGCGAAATTTTTTAGGGTGGCCGGTTTTTTTTTTGCCGGTCAGTGTATTACAATAGTATATTATTTCATATATACAGGGTGCCGCATCCAAGTCTGGATATAGGGAATTAACATGCGAATTGGTTTTTATTTTATAATATCTCCCCAGATCACTTTAAAGCTATTATTGAGTGACGGCTTTGTGGAGGTCGAAGAGGGCTATCGGCCAGTATTTTTTTCAAATCGTTGCATCGCGCTCATTCACTGTAAAAAGGTTTTAAAAATCGTATTTTGAAATTCGCGCCCGATCCGAATTGTCGCGAAGTGTTCCGTCGTACTGTCGAAGTTCGGCGATCGCGTATTTTCATTATCCATGCAAAATTCAAATGTCAAAGTGAAATTAGAAATTATTCTCATCAGAAATCAACGAACAAGTCAAACTGAATTATTTTATCCAGTGTGATGATTATTGTAGGACAAATTAAACGGAATAAATGCACAAATTGATCCATTCATTCGTCATAGTGCGCGACCCCGTCAAACGAGCCATCTCGAACTACAATCAGACCGTATCCAAAAAGCCCAAGATGAAGACTTCAAGACTTCGAGCAGCTGGTATTCCTCAAAACCCCATCAAAGCCCATCGGCAGCATTGCGACATTTTCTGGGAGCCCTCAAGCTAGGAATGTACTCGGGCTGCTTCACTCAGTAATCACTGAACGACTCAAATTGAATTATTTTATCCAATATGACGATTATTGTAGGTCAATTTAAACGGAATAAATGCACAAACTGCACAAAATATTTTATTAGGTTATGCTATGTTCTACTGCGATTAGATGAAAAAGCGGGGGCCTGCATGTTCTTCAAGAGTTAATTTAATTAGTAGGTAATTTGGATAAATTTCACCCTTTTTTTTGGAATCACTAAAGATTGGAAGTCAATTGATTTTACATTCGTTAAGCAGGGATGGATTTTTTGCCTCCAGGAAGCATCTTCATTACAGGAAATTTTTGAGAGAGAAATGTAGAACATTGACTCATCAACATTTTAAAGTATTTATTTTTCTCTATTACGAATGTGTTTTGGGATTCAGAAACTTTTGTATTACTGTTTTATTTGTTTATTGTGTTAACAACAACAAAAATAAAAATAATATTTCGCAAAATAAAGTTACATTTATTTTCAAAGGTGATAAAAATTACATAAAATCAGGTGGGCACGACGTTTTCTAGGGGTCTTAAACAGATGAGATAGAAGAATTTCAAAAAGCATCATGACAAAAAATTGAAGCCTGGGGATTACTTCTCACATATAGAATTTTACGAAGGAACGCTTGAGAGAATCTAGGCTGATGGAGAGTTTTTGAGGAAAATTTGTTTTACTGACGTTCATTTGGTCTTAAGGGAAGTTATAATCGTCAGAACGATCAAATTTGAGCATTACACAACCCTCACGTGGTCCACGACCTTCGTTATCAATGGCGTGCAATTGTCAGTGTATGACTGGGGCTTCTAGGACATCATGTCATTGCACCTTTTTTCATCGAATCCGGATTGAATGCTCAGAAGTAGGATAATATGCTAGCTCAGCAAATACTTCCTGGGACCCGAAGGGTGCGGCATCTGCAGCAGGTCTTTTACATCCAGGACCAAATCTCCAGCCATACAGTTCGCATAAATGTTGTTTATTTGAACCAGTATTTTTCCGTAATGTTGGAATGAAAAGTTTGCACCGCCCCATTGGTCTGTGCAATCGCCGGATATAAACCCCTGAGAATTTTTTCTTTGGAGATTTCTTCACGACCATCTGCATTCAGACAAGCTATACAAACAGAGAAGCGCCAGCAATATTGTCTTCAGATTTCAACTAAAATGCTGATCAACACGCGTAGGAGTTTTGAAGATTGGCTTACTTACTGTACAGCTGCTGAGAGCAGTCTTTTTGAGCAATTCTTGAAAATAGTGCAATACTTCTCCAGATTCGTACAATATTTCATTGCTTCATTCATCAACAATTGTTAAGTTTTGTTATTTGTAGTTATCTAAATGGTTCATTAAAAGGTCCTCTTCAAAAGCGCCAGCTATTTTGATGGTGAATCTTATCATCACACAATAAGAAAAGCGGGCCCTCGCTTTTTCATCTAATCGCAGTAGAACATGGCATTTTAATGAGATTTTAGTAATAAAGACTCGATCAGCACCAGCAACATAACCTAATAAAATATTTTGTGCAGTTTGTGCATTTATTTCGTTTAAATTGACCTACAATAATCGTCATATTGGATAAAATAATTCAATTAGCCAAATACACTGACGTCATCCGAGGTCATCAAGATGGCAGCGTTTGACAACTAGCCTATTTTCTCATAAGAGTCAATGCTAATATTTTCGGAATTCATTTAAATTTGAGAGCGTGTCAACTGTGTTTTTATAGTTTGGTAAGTTTGTTACAGTTTCTAGACTGTGTAGATGTCTGTAAAAGGCACCATAACGTTTGAATATGCTTAAAAAAAAATGTTTTCCAATGTGATGTACAGGTTAACTTCGCTGCATCTTATATTATTTCTTTTGCAAATTAATTCTTTGTTAATGTACATCAATGGTTTTTAAATACACTAGCATCTTAATATTATAATATTTTGTATTTTAGGAGAAAATGCCTAAATTTTGTGCTGTTGTAGGTTGCGCGAATCGAAGCACCAGAAATGCGGACAAATTTTATTTTCCTTTCCCAGCAATTAGCAACAATAAAGGTAAATATATACAGGATGGGGAAAAAAGGCGGAAGCTTTGGTTAAAAGCCTTGAAACGAGTGGATTTAACGAAGCCAAAGTAAAGTATTCCTATGTTTGTTCGGATCATTTTATTTTGGTACAGTAACTACCTATTAGATTTACAGTTTTTAATAAATTATTACACTGGTGCTCTTTTAGGTAAACCTGCAGATTTGTCAGATGTGGACCATCCTGATTATGTTCCATCACAAAATTTAGGATATCAAAATAAATCTACTCATAATACTTGTAATGTTGAAAGACAAAAATAGAGAAAACTGAATAAATGCCTCTTGACATTTGAATGCACAAATTTCATTGTGGGTTATTTTACTTATTCCAAAAATAAAAAAGTTTAGAATGGTATTCATTGTTATGGTAGGGACATCGTCTAAACACAAATTAAAATCACTTGCACTCATTGTATAAGGATCTACGCCGTTTAAATTGTTTAACTTTTGTACATATCTGTTTTTCTCTTTGACGGAAAGACATCGTGCATAATCACTTAAATTATTCATACTTTAAAAACAAATTACACACCTTCACTTAAACCCGTCACATTAACCTCAAACGAAAATATTAATTTCCGATTTACCGCTTAAAACACACGGATGTATTTTGAGTGACGAGGAATTCAGACCAAAACAGCGTTCTGTATTTTTATTTTTATTATATATTTTTAAACTCAAATCGCCAAAAAAAGCACCCTGATACACAGAAAAGATATGAAAGAAGCTATTCACGTGTTTATTTTGTAGATAAATACCCACACTTTTAAATAAAATGCGAAAATGTTAACATTGTCACTTATGGAGTTTCACGGCGCTTGTCAAACGCTGAGTTCCCGCCACAGCGTGACGTCACGTGTTATTGGCTAATTTGAGTCGTTCAGTGATTACCACGGGGGTGCAAGTGGGTTACGGAATTAGACATCAAATATGGCGGCTTGCCAGGCAAAAGGTGGGTCTAAAATACGCTGCGCATAAGTACCGTGCGTCGTATTTCACAACATTAGAGGTGCACGTGGGTCTTGGGAACGACGGTTTGACACATGGTGATGTGAGAAGTGAGGAAATTACAAAAGATTGCCCGGCAAACAATTCTATCCTGTGAGAGTAACCTGGAGAGTGGACAGCAACTCAAAAAGAACATAATAACATGTATAATGTTATAATGGTAAACATACATACCAAAAGCAAAACATCAAATGTAAATTTACAGTTTTAGGTGGTTATGTTTTCAAAATTCACTGAACTGTTCCCTGCTGAAAACTGTGGCCCATGTGGAAATTGAACAACAATAATGGTAAGCACACACGATAAAAGCGAAACATATTTAATTTGTTAAGTTTTAGGTGGCATGTACAGAAAAGTCTGGCCGACATGGCAGTGCAATATCTTTATGTATAAAGTAGCATATAACAATTTGTGATGGAGCAAACTAGTATAATTTCAAGTATAACAGGGCGAATTAAATATTCATGTAAGTTCCCAAAGTGTACCAACCGTTACTATGCACCAAACAGTGGAGTAAAAAATAAACGATTTCATCGATTTCCTTCATCAAATCAAGAGATACAAGATAAGTGGAAATTAGTGTGTGGTATTGATTTGCATATAAATACCAAACATTTTTATGTATGTGAAGATCACTTTACTGCAGCAGATTATAGAAGTCATTTACGTAATCGATTAAACTGCCAGGCAGTCCCTTCACTCGATGTTTTTAGTAACACCACTAATGTGTTATCAAAGGACTGTGCTGTTGATAATTTCAGTTCATCACTCAATGAACATGATTATAGTAAGGGGCCAATTTTGAATTTAGAGGAAATAAATAAAAATATTCAGGAAGATCATTCCTATTTCGTCACAATAAACGTGCAACACTTAGATGACCATTCTTATACTAAAGTTCAACCCATAAATGTCAACAATGTCATTAAATCAGTTCAGGACGATCATGACTATTTTCATCGCACAAACACAGTGCAAGTAAATAATAGTGCTTCTAATAATGTGGACCTGGATGTCTATTTCTCAGAACATGATTATTGCACCCCTACATCAAACAATTACATTTCTTGTGACAACGTGATAAACTCTGAAGTCATTAATAACCCAACAAAAACACCAAAAAAACAACGTGGTTTCTTAAAATGTTGTGGTCTTCGTAGTACACAGTTAACGCCACGCAAAAAAAAGATGTACAGAATACACCGATCTGTAAAATCAAATTTGTTTAAAACAAAAAAAAAATTGGCGACTGAAATTCAAAAGTTGGAGCATTTAAAAACCATGTATGAGGACAATAGATTTGAATTTATTGAAAAAAAACTAAATCTTGTCACCAAAAATTTCATTAACTCCCAACTGCGAAACGTTGAGAAAAAACCATCAGCTAAACGGTGGACTGAACAAGATAAAATATTTGCATTATCTCTATATAAACGAAGTCCTAAATTGTATAGATATTTGTCTGTCTACTTCCAAGTACCTTCAACAAGAACATTAAAGACAATTTTGTCCAATATTCCACTGGATACTGGTATAAATAAACCACTTCTAGATCATCTGAAAAACGTATGTCAAACGATGAATAAATTAGATAAATGTTGTTCGCTAATATTTGATGAGATTTCTTTGAGTTCTGGTTTTTTTTACGAAGCAAGTAAAGACATGGCTTTTGGGTATGAAGATTTGGGACATCTAGGTAGAACAAGCAGACATGCAAATCACGCATTAGTATTTATGTTGCGGGGAATGCGAAAAACGTGGAAACAAGTTGTGGCCTACTATCTCACATCTGCAACAATCTCTGTGGCTAATCTAAAAAATATCATTACATTAATAATTAATCAGACTTTGGAAGCTGGATTTAACGTAATGGCCACAGTGTGTGACCAAGGGTCCACTAATCGTGCTGCCCTTAATGAACTGTGTTGGGAAAATTCATCGCGCTTTCAGTTTAAAGTCAAGGGACATGACATTGCATGCATATTTGATGTCCCACATCTACTTAAGAACACAAGAAATGCACTATATACTTGTGATTTTATATTCGATGGTGATAAAAGAGCAAAGTTTGAACATATTGTTCAACTTTATGAAATTGATAAACATAAAGAGATCCCAAGTCTATATAAACTCAAGGACGAACATTTTAATATAAATGACAGCTACATGAAAATGAGAGTTAACATTGCAGCTTGGATGCTGAGCAATACTGTCGGTGCAGGCTTAGAAACATACGCGGAGACAAACGGCCAAGGTTTGTTACCACCAGAAGCAAAAAACACTGCAATTTTTGTCAGAAACATGGATCAGCTTTTTGATTCACTTAATGGTTACACTCTCAATCCAGATGCTGGGAAAACATATCGAACTGTCCTTAGAGATAATTCTCCCCATTGGGAATTGTGGGATAGGCTTTTGACACAAATAAAAAATTGGAAACTGATTCGAAAGTCTGATGGTAGGGACCACACAAATCAATTTCAATTCATAAATGGATGGATGGTAACAATACAATCGGTTAAAAAATTATGGCTACGATTGAAGCAAATGGGAATCTCCTACTTAAATTTACGAAATCTGAATCAAGATCCACTTGAAAATTTATTTTGCCTTATTAGACAACATGGAATGTCTAACAATAATCCAAATTGTCATCAGTTTGTGGCTGCCCTCAAAACAACAGTTTTAAATAGAATGTTTTTATCTGGAGTCAGAGGAGCAAATTGTGAGGACGATCGTTGCGAAAGTTTAGATAATTTTGCGGTATTTTTAAATGGGGAGCACACGAAACAAGAAACAATAGAATCTTCCTCGAGTGATCAACTTGAATTTGTCTTCAATGCAGAAGCTTTGACTCCAGAAGATTCGCAGGGACTTGCCTACGTATCAGGGTATATTCTGAAAAAAATTAACTTACCCGACGTAAATTGCGAAACTTGTAAGAAACAGTTATATGCAAATAAAAAAAATCAGTTTCATAAGTTTACTTTGCTAAAAGAACATCGCCCTGATAATGAAAAATTGATTTATCCGAGTAACATAGTTATTTTATTAGTTAAAAATATACATAGTTTGCTCCAAACATACTTAGACAAAAATGGCCATAAAGCAAATTTGGAAACAAGTTTCAAAAGTAGTTTTTTAAAAATGTACACCAATGTTTTATGTGATATTCATAGCTGTGAATCGCTTATTATAGATAAAACCGTAAGACTGTTCATGTACAAATATTTTAAGAATAAGCAAAACCAAATTCCAAAGAAAACTGCAGGTAGTAAGAGAAAAAAGAAACCCATTTTTTCTCAAAACAAAAAAAATAAGTTGTAGGAAAATACATACAAGACTGAATGTTAGTTTCCTATATTTTTTAATCAGTGTTATTATATATTTTATTCCTTTTTATCTGTTTTTCTATTTTTTTAGTTTTATATTTTTTATTCGGAGAATTAATATTTTTGTTTTTTTTTTTGTATTGTTTTAAATATTTTTTGTTTTTTACATTTATGTGTCGTTTTATTTTGATTAATTTGTATATTATTTTAAATAAATATTTCTTTTTATATACGAATTTTGTATTTCTCTTTCAAATTTCAATCAAGGTTATTGGCATAAAGCGTTACTGGGCGCCAGTTTTTAAATTTCAACTTTTTAACTTTGAATAATGTGCCAGGCATCCGCCAGATGGCGCCTGCAATTGACATTTTGGTGATGCCACTAGTTAACTAGGAAGTTTCGCTTCTCTTTAGTAACTGTTCCCTGGTGATTACTGAGTGAGGCAGCCCGAGTACATTCCTAGCTTGAGGGCTCCCAGAAAATGGCGCAATGCTGCCGATGGGCTTTGATGGGGTTTTGAGGAAGACCAGCTGCTCGAAGTCTTGAAGTCTTCATCTTGGGCTTTTTGGATACGGTCTGATTGTAGTTCGAGATGGCTCGTTTGACGGAGTTGCGCACTATGACGAATGAATGGACCAATTTGTGCATTTATTCCGTTTAATTTGTCCTACAATAATCATCACACTGGATAAAATAATTCAGTTTGACTTGTTCGTTGATTTCTGATGAGAATAATTTCTAATTTCACTTTGACATTTGAATTTTGCATGGGTAATGAAAATACGCGATCGCCGAACTTCGACAGTACGACGGAACACTTCGCGACAATTCGGATCGGGCGCGAATTTCAAAATACGATTTTTAAAACCTTTTTACAGTGAATGAGCGCGATGCAACGATTTG